TCTTGTGTTAATGCCACATCACCCTTCCCACCTCACTCAAATGTAATGCCACATCACCCTTCCCACCTCACTCAAATGTAATGCCACATCACCCTTCCCACCTCACTCAAATGTAATGCCACATCACCCTTCCCACCTCACTCAAATGTAGATATAAAATCAGGGAAACGCAAGTTCTAATCAGTTGTGTATTTGTGAAGTCTTTGAAAATGTAATAAGTTTTACGAAACGCGCCCGTGTCGCGTCAGACTAGAAATAAAAATGAATTTTGGAGAAGTGATTTTTGATTTACCTCCAACAGTGAAGCGTAATGTACGAAAGATTGAGAAAATTCGTGAGTAGAATTATTAATCTTACTTTTTCGGTCATATTTAAAATAATAATATATATATATATATATATATATATATATATATATATATATATATATATATATATATATATAATATATATATATAAATATATATATATATATATATATTATATATATATATATATGTCGTACCTAGTAGCCAGAACGCACTTCTCGGATGACCTAGTAGCCAGAACGCACTTCTCGGATGGCCCGATTTGCCTAATAGGCCAAGTTTTCCTGAATAAATATTTTTTCTCAAATGTTTTTTCTTATGGAATGATAAAGCTACCCATTTCATTATGTATGAGGTCAATTTTCTTTATTGGAGTTAAAATTAACGAAGATATATGACCGAACCTAACCAACCCTACCTACCTAACCTAGCCTATCTTTATAGGTTAGGCTAGGTTAGGTAGCCGAAAAAGTAGGTTAGGTTAGGTAGGTTAGGTAGTCGAAAAACAATTAATTCATAAAAACTTGGTTATTAGGCAAATCGGGCCTTGCATAGTAGGCTGAGAACGTGCGTTCTGGCTACTAGGTACGACATTGTGAGGGTACCAACCTCTGGTGCCAATGTGGGGACCCATAGCTCGCGGAGAAGGAAAATAAAAAGTATTCAGAGGAGACCTTGTGGTTTCTCACTAAACACTATATTAATAACTATATACTATATATATATATATATATATATACTATATTTATATATATATATATATATATATATATATATATATATATATATATAGATATATATATATAGTATATAATATATATATATATATCTATATTATATATATATATAGATATATATATAATATATCATATATATATATTATAATATATATATATATATATAGAATATATATATATATATATATATATATATCTATATATATATATATATATATATATATATATATATATATATATATATAATATATATATATATATATATATATATATATATATATATATATATATATATATATATATATATGCAAACAAGCCTGAATGGTCCCAGGACTATATACAACTGAAAAACTCACACCCCAGAAGTGACTCGAACCCATACTCCCACAACTGGTATGTACAGGGACGCCTTAATCCGCTTGACCATCACGACCGGACATAAGGAAGTGATAGCCGAGGCTATATGAACCACTTCCCCGCCGGCACTCGGATGGTTATCTTGGGCATAGCATTTTATCAAATCACCTCATTCTTTGGGGCACACGTGAGGAACACAAATGCAAACAAGCCTGAATGGTCCCCAGGACTATATACAACTGAAAACTCACACCCCAGAAGTGACTCGAACCCATACTCCCACAACTGGTATGTACAGGGACGCCTTAATCCGCTTGACCATCACGACCGGACATAAGGAAGTGATAGCCGAGGCTATATGAACCACTTCCCCGCCGGCACACGGATGGTTATCTTGGGCATAGCATTTTATCAAATCACCTCATTCTTTGGGGCACACGTGAGGAACACAAATGCAAACAAGCCTGAATGGTCCCCAGGACTATATACAACTGAAACTCACACCCCAGAAGTGACTCGAACCCATACTCCCACAACTGGTATGTACAGGGACGCCTTAATCCGCTTGACCTCACGACCGGACATAAGGAAGTGATAGCGAGGCTATATGAACCACTTCCCCGCCGGCACTCGGAGATGGTTATCTTGGGCATAGCATTTTATCAAATCACCTCATTCTTTGGGGCACACGTGAGGAACACAAATGCAAACAAGCCTGAATGGTCCCCAGGACTATATACAACTGAAAACTCACACCCCAGAAGTGTCACTTCTGGGGTGTGAGTTTTCAGTTATATATATATATATATATATATATATATATTAATAATATATATCTGTAAATCATACTTAGTAGCCAAAATGCACTTCTCGGCCTACTATGCAAGACCCGATTTGCCTAATAGGCTAAATAATTTTCTTGATTTTCCAACAAAAATTTCCAAAGGGTTTATTTGAATATTATTGTTTATTATATTAAGAACATAAATTATTGACTTAGTCAAGTTAGTTTAGGTTAGGTAAGATAGAGTAGGTTAGGTAAGGTTAGGTAGGGTAGGTTCGATCATATATTTACGTTAGTTTTAATTCAAATTAAATCAAATAAACTCATACATATTGAAATGGATTGCTTTATCATTTCATAAGAAAAATTTTTGAAAAATATATAATAACTTCAGGGAAAACTTGGCTTAGTAGGCAAATTGGGCTTTGCATAGTAGGCCATGTATTGCTTTCTGGCTACTAGGTACAACATTACACATACATATATATATTGTACCTAATAGCAAGAATGCACTACTTGGCCTACTATGCAAGACCAATGTTGCCTAATAAACCAAGTTTTCCTATAGTTATACATTTTACTAACAAAATTTTCTTATGAAATGATAAAGCTTTCCATTATATTATACTGTATATAATTTCATTATTTTTTTAATACGAGTTAAAAGTAACGTAGAAATATGACCAAACCTAACCTAACCTACTTAATCTAACCTAAACTAAACTAACCTAACTAAGTCAGTAATTCATGTTCTTAACACTTTGGCTGGGCCGGCTGGCTACCCGCATCGCACCGGAAGGTAGGTCAGACATTGCCGGTGACCACACAATCCAATTTTAAACTTTTTCACTCACAATGTTAATACTGAATAATAAGAGTAAGCAAAAATGAATGGATGATGGTATTGACGTCATGCCCAGAACTGCGTGTATTGTTTTGATGACTCTGAGAGTGTCATCATCCGGCGGAAAATGTTAAATTAATATAGCAGTATTAATTCAAGTAAACCTATTGTAAACATTGTTTTTAATAACGGAAATTACTCTGCTTATTATGCAATAAGGCCTTGCATACTAGACCATGAAGTGCGTTCTGGCAATTAGGAACGCCATTACGTAAAATAAATAAATATAAAATATATAATATATATATATATATATATATATATATATATATATATATATATATATATATATTATATATTATATATATATATATTATATATATATATATATATAATATATATATATATTTATTTATTTATTTTGTGTTTGATGACTCTGAGAATGTCACACACAAAACACACACACAAAAAAAAAAACCCTCCCCACACATATCCTACCACCTCTATATTACCTAATGCATAATGCAATAACCATATCAGACTTTATAAACCTCAGCAATAACGAACCTGAGAGCAGAGAACCAGAATTTAAAGATGAAATGAGCATTTGTACATACATCTAGCCTTTCTTAATACAATGACATTAAGATACAATATATAAATAACAATATTTCAGACTTCACATCAAATTTGCTAGGACAATTTAAATTGAGAACCAGGTACAGTGCACAACTATACATAATGGTGGTTCTTTGAAATTACATTATCAGTCAATACACAAGAGATATTACAGGAATCTGCATCATAGTACAGTACCGAATTTAAAAAATTCAAAGTATATGGATTGTGTGTAATGACCCTTAAATTTAGCTGTTCTGTATGTCTTTTTAATGTACTGTGCAGATTATCATTGGGAATAATATTATGTAAGGAATTAAAGACAACAATCAATTCCAGGTTTATGTGGAAGTGGAGGTAAAACTAATGTTTTTAAACCCCAGCAGCAGTGCCAATTAATATCAAATTAAAAGTGTGATTATCTGGGGCTTTATACTCCCAAGCTCCTCCTGGGGTTCAGGCTCAAGAGGTAGTAGTCTAGGAGATGCCATAACTTTAGAAATGCAATGAACATTATTCAATTAGCATAAAATTCCTTTGAAAATATACAAGACAAATTACAGATTTTAGATGAATTTTGACTGTCAGGCTTTCAGACAACATATTTTTGCTCACCAAGTTTTTTGAATATGAATGAAAATTTTTGATTATTAAAATATCATTAAACAGGAGACCCACTTCAGTTAGGACCTTTCCTAAATTACATACCAAAGAAGCAAGGCAGGCTTAATAAAACCACTTATAATCTTGGCTCACTAAAGGGATCTACAATAGAAAATTATCACTACAATTATAACATAAATAAAATGATCAATGCTCTCCACTGCTCATGACCACTCTACTGAAGTGAGGGGGGGAAACAAAGTCTGCTTTGGTACAATATAAAAGCCAATTTTTATTTTATTTTATATATATATGTATGTATATATATATATATATGTATGTAATATATATATATATATATATATATATATATGTATATTATATATGTATATATGTATATATTATATATATATATATATATATATATATATATATATATATATATATATATATATATATATTATATATATATATATATATATTATATATAATATATATATATATATATATATATATATATATATATATATATATATATATATATATATATATATATATATATATATAGATATATATATATATATATATTAAATTTCTGACAACTTTCCAAGCTTAGACTTCATATATAAACTAGATGGTCTAGATAATAATAATAAAATGCTACAGCAAAACTACAATAAAAAATTACAAAAGTTTAAAAACCTTAAAAAAAATAAAAAAACAACAGGGAGCAAAATCTTTATAGTTACCCTGGTATGCTCTTTGATTTTCCTCCTCTTCCTCTGCACTTTCTGCTTCCTGTAGACATAAATAAAGCTTTATATAACCTTGAAATATTAAATGGCTTAAATTGAGGAAATAACATTGGGAAGTATATGTGCAATGGAACCACGGGTATGGAATGGACAGTAGTGGCAAACATGAGGCAAGGAAACACAAGATCCTACAGAGTCCCTAGACATGGATTATGTATTTTCCATAAAGTTTATTATACCCTGTACACAATATTGCTGCAGACACATTTTTGGAGCATTCCTGCAGGATTATGCATATTGGGGCAATGTCAGTATACCCAGGTATTTACCCAAGTGTAGGTACAAGATGGGAGCTATGCTCATGGTGTCCCGTCTACCCAGTACTCTTTATTATGACATTTTAAAACTACATACAAGCTGATACTACACATATCAGCTTGTATGGATATAAAACATTGAACCTGTAAAATGCTGACCTTGGAAAGCTAAATTGTAATAGAGAAAGTGTTCAATCCACACACATCTACTCTCACATTCATTGCAATCTCCTGCTTGGCACAATGTCCACACCTATACTTAAAAAAATAATTTACAAATCAATAACACCCTTTTATTTGAAGGGAATTACGCGTCCAGCAAACAGCATAAACTCATTTCCAGATATACATACATTTATCCTTTGCCACCCAAACTTTGCAAAAACTATCAAATTGAGTAAGAAAATACAACTTAATAATAAATGTATAAAATGGTGCAGCAGGTCTATGGAATAGAAGAAAATAACTAGACAGTAAAAAAACAGGAATATCTGTACCTCCAGCTGGATAATATTTAACTGTCACAAAGTGAGGGCTTCTTGCTTAGTATTTTAAATCCTGATGAGATCAGGTATATAAATACTTAAGTGTAGTTACTGGACAAGAGCTACACTCATTATGTCCCATCTTCCCAGCATTCTTTGTCATATAACACTTTCAAATTACTAATAGTTTTGGTCTCCTCCACTTTCTCACTTAACTTGTTCCAACCGTCTACCATTCCGTGTGCAAAAGAAAACTTTCTAATACTTTTTCGGCATCTTTGTTTCCTTAGCTTGAACTTACGACCTCTTGTTCTTAAGATTACTGGTTTCAGGAATTCCTCTGTCAATTTAGTCAATACCTGTTATTACTTTGTAAGTGGTAGTTATATCCCCTCTTTCTTCTATCTTCTACTAGTTTTGTTATATTTAACACCTCTAGGCTCTCTTCATAACTCTAATTTTTTGTATTTCTGGAAGCCATTTTGTAGTAGGCCTTTGTACCTTTTCCTGTTTATTGATGTGCTGTAATTACCTAAGTGTAATTACCTAAGTGTAGTTACAGGATGAGAGCTACGCTCGTGGTGTCCCGTCTTCCCAGCACTCTTTGTCATATAACGCTTTGAAACTACTGACGGTCTTGGCCTCCACCACCTTCTCACTTAACTTGTTCCAACCGTCTACCACTCTATTTGCGAAGGTGAATTTTCTTATATTTCTTCGGCATCTGTGTTTAGCTAGTTTAAATCTATGGCCTCTTGTTCTTGAAGTTCCAGGTCTCAGGAAGTCTTCCCTGTCGATTTTATCAATTCCTGTTACTATTTTGTACGTAGTGATCATATCACCTCTTTTTCTTCTGTCTTCTAGTTTTGGCATATTTAATGCTTCTAACCTCTCCTTGTAGCTCTTGCCCTTCAGTTCTGGGAGCCACTTAGTAGCATGTCTTTGCACCTTTTCCAGTTTGTTGATGTGCTTCTTAAGATATGGGCACCGCACAACAGCTGCATATTCTAGCTTTGGCCTAACAAAAGTCATGAACAATTTCTTTTAGTATATCGCCATCCATGTATTTAAATGCAATTCTGAAGTTAGAAAGCATTGCATAGGCTCCTTGCACAATATTCTTAATGTGGTCCTCAGGTGATAGTTTTCTATCTAGAACCACTCCTAGATCTCTTTCTTTATCAGAATTCTTTAAAGATTTCTCACATAATATATAGGTTGTGTGGGGTCTATGTTCTCCTATGTGTTACGTGAGTTGTGTTTTCAAGGTAATTGTGAGATAGACTAGCCCCCAAATGCATGGTCTGTGCAAAAATTTTTAATTTTATTATTTTTAGTTTATGTTGGTTATCTTTCAAATTGTATATACTGTGTCTTATTCTTGAGGTTATCTTGAGATGATTTTGGGACTTAGCATCCCTGCGACCCGGTCCTAGACCAAGCCTCCTGTTTTGTTACAACCCCCCAGGAAGCAGCCTGTAGCAGCTATTTAACTCCCAGGTACCTATTTACTGCTAGGTAACAGGGGCATCAGGGCGAAAGAAACTCTGCCCATTTGTTTCTGCCTCCACTGGGGATTGAACCCGGAACCTCAGAACTACGAATCCGAAGCAGTGTCCACTCAGCTGTCAGGCCCCAGGAAACATTTATTGATTTTCTACTTTAAATTAAGCTATTTATTATGTTTCTTGTCTTTTATTATGTATCACTTCATGATAAATTGTAAACAAAACTATTTAAATTTATTTAACTTCCTTAGCATGATTTCAAAGTAGGCACTGTTATTTATTATTATACAGCATATAATTGATAACAATAAAGTAATGATCAAATGTTAAGTTACTGACATTCATAATGTTTTTATAAATTAATATACTAAATGTTTGTAATCTTAAGTGATTACCTAATATATAGATAATCACTAAAGTTTAGATAATAACTTAAGATTAGGTAATAAGCCCAGTTAAATTTGTAAATTAAATTTATCAGTTCTTTAAATAAAAAATAAAACAATCCATCATTGTCCCCAATGAATACCATCATTCATATACAGTACTGTATTTTATAATGATTTACATGATGCTAATGCATAAGCATTTTAAATCGGAAAGAACTGTAGATACAGCATGCTCCTTTTGATTTTTTTTTAACTCGACATGGGTATTTTATCATTCTCTCATGATTCTCTGAAGTAATTTATATATTATGTATATTAATATTAGCATCTATTTCCCTAAAGGATATTTTGTCATTTTCTAGAGAAACTTGTTTAATTCTTCAGCACTATGACACATTCTGATGCTTTATTAATATCAAGAGTTTTATTCATTTCCTTATTCCTCTCAAGACATCTGTATTAATATTTAATGGGAATTTGTTCATCCCATATTTTGTTTACTTAAAATGATCTTCACTCACAAATATTGACTGGAATTTCACATTTTCTTTAGCTTCAGCAAATGGGTGCCCACTTTTGTTCAACAGTTGTTTCAGTGATTCAATCTCTAGCCCAGTGTTTTGGTTTTCAGTTAACTTTGTTTTACTTTCCTGATACAAAGCAAATATGTGCTCAGAGGTCATTTTGACTAAGTTACAGCTCACTTGAGAAGCCACATATATAACATTCATCATGTAAGTGCTACAATAGGTCAACCTTTGGATTAGAAGTTCTCAACTATAGCATTTCCTTCCTTCACTATAGCTGGTGAGAATGGCCATATAAACAAGCTCCACAACATTTTCCCAAACCTACGATTCGAAGCCAAGACCAGTAGAGAAGGACTCCAACTATTCTTTGACAGGGAAGGCTTCCCAATGTGAACAGATTCAAAACTGTATCCATAGCCTGTTCAGTTTCTTGACATAAAAAAAAAGAAGTAATTTTGAGCTATTGAATAATTTACCTGTCAAGGCATGGAAAGAAGTTCACCCATTTTCCTTTATGAATTGACAACTCTTATACACCATCACTTGGTTCATATTAAAATGTTTAATTTATACTTCACATGGCAGTACCATATTCATTATTAAAAGTTGTGGGATTTCCCTCCTTCCCCCAACCCTTTACCCGAAGGTTAAAGAATAAATGACAAAACTAGGTAAAACAAAGACAACTAAAAGCTTGGGTATCCTATGTGATAGAATTTTAAATTCCATTACATAGGTTACTGAATACAGTACATGATAATTCAACTTCAATACTGTATGCAATACAATACACAGACAAAAAATAAGATAGAGAAAATAATATTTACTAAAATCAAATAAATGTATTTCACTGTCAAAAGTAACAAGAAGAAACATTTATCATCAGAGTGTGTAACTTTGCACTCACCCGCATTTCCTTAAGGCACTGGAATAAGCAAGCATGCAAGAGCAACACTGGTAAGGCAACATTATTACAAGGAACTTAATAACAATCACAATATACTCCAGGGATTGACATTAGCTTAGCTAGTGAATTTCTATTACTATTTAGAAGACTGATCAATTTGCTGTAAGCTTTGTGTGATTCAATGCTATTAATGTTAATTATTAAAAGCATTATGAATTGCACACACATCTTTAAATACAGAGTGACTTCAATTTTCCAAAGTGGCTGGTACTGCTGAGTCGGATATATGCCGTCGAGATGAGCTGGTTAACAAAGACAAGGTTGGTACTGTTACCAATTCACCAGGATTATGTTTAGTAATCTGATCAATTACCCAAATTTGTTTACTGGTAGTTAACCCAGGAAAACTGATACATAGATAAGTGGTTAATTGAAGTCCCACTGTACTGTATACATAACATGCAAAAATGTTGTTGGGTATGAAAAATTTGAATTACTAAACAATAAATTATAATAAAAGAGACTGATCATGCACATCAAATAACAAGGGTTGTGACCATTGTGATGGGTTAATATATAACGAGTTACAGCCACTATCTTTACCTCCAAATTGTCATTTTAACCTATTTTTCTTTTACCATAAGAAACTCTAGCTCTTCAAAAGCACTTTGAGCTTTTTTTTTAAATCATGCACCTCAATTATTTGTATTTATTTTTAAATTTAACACATATACACGAAGCTTAATGATATAGGTACAATAACTTGCTAGCTTTTACTTTCTCGTGTTTTTTAGTGGTACTGTATACATAAAAAATAATCATATTAATTGAACTCTATTAACTGGAAAGTATATATACTAGTATCAAGTTATTTACTCCAGGAGTAGCATGTTAACAAACCACACACAACTTCATTAGCTTTCATTCAGGCTCTTGTCAACCCTGTTTCCCACCATGACAAGGATCTTTGTAAAAGGTCTTATGAAGTAAATTAGGCATGGGAGACAGTGGAGAACTTGACTCACCACCAATGAGGGACCTGCTCACTGTAATACTCAGAGAAACACCCTCAACACACACACACTGCAGCCATCTAATCACTTTCATTATGATGCCTTCACAGTTAGCACCATGATGGCATTCCTTTTGTTTACCATGGAATGTTAATTATTATTCTACTTTGGAAACATCAACTGAAATTTATTAAATAAATATAAAACATTTCCAAGAGAAAAGATCCATCAATCCAAGTAACTAAAGCCCATATATGGCAAAAGGGGACACAGTAACCAACGCTTTAAAAAAGAAGAAGGGCCAGCCACATTAACCATGCTCTGGAATTGAATCTTAACCCACACCAGTCAAAGAATTTGAAAAATCCTCAAAGACGACCCCTACTGACTATGCCCAGGAAGAGAAATTCAACTTCCTTCAAGCATATAATGTAGGGCAAGATAAGAGACATCTAAAGCATGAGAAAATCCACTAGGGCTGTGAGGTGGGCAAAACCCTATGACCAAGGCATTGTCAAGCCTTGTCACCCCTATCCCCAATGGATTAACCCCTTAACTGCGTTGCCTCCAAATGTGACACCCCCGCAGTGCGCAGGAAATAAATTCTCTGGAAAAAATTCTTTTTTCTTTTTAAAGTGTCAAAAACCCTTCCCTCAGTATGGGTATGTAAAAAAAAAGTCGAGATTGTACTTACTTTGGCTGCTATGGGGTCCGGAAGTTGGGGCGTGACGTCATCATTCCCCGTGCGCCCGTGCCGTAAGCTCTTGGGGGCGGTGGGGCGCTCGGGGCGGGGCGCACGAGTTGCCGCGAATATATTTTCGTTCATTTTTTCCGCACCTTTCCAAATACAATTTCATCGTTTTTATGTGCCAATCCAATGTATAATGAACACGTACACTATAATATCGCAGTACAACATCCGTACTGTCCGTCGACACTGTGTTACGTGCATGAAACTTGTGTACACATATGCAGCACATATTTACTATATACCATGCTAATTTGTGTATATATACAATCTATTTACACACTATACACTGTCACACACTATATACATTCACCATCAACACATTCAGAACACCGCGTAGCAGCTGCTTCGTATGAGCCAATAGCAGCTGCCTCGTATGGGCCAATATCAGCTGCCTCGTATGGGCCAATAGCAGCTTCCCCGTATGGGCCAAGAGCAGCTGCCTCGTATGGGCCAATAGCAGTTGCCTCGCATGGGCCAATAGCAGTTGCCTCGTATGGGCCAATATCAGCTGCCTCGTATGGGCCAATATCAGCTGCCTCGTATGGGCCAATAGCAGCTGCCCCGTATGGGCCAATAGCAGCTGCCTCGTATGGGCCAATAGCAGCTACCTCGTATGGGCCAATATCAGCTGCCCCGTATGGGCCAATAGCAGCTACCTCGTATGGGCCAACATCAGCTGCCTCGTATGGGCCAATATCAGTTGCCTCGTATGGGCCAATATCAGCTGCCTCGTATGGGCCAATAGCAGCTACCTCGTATGGGCCAATATCATCTGCCTCGTATGGGCCAATATCAGCTGCCTCGTATGGGCCAATAGCAGGTGCCCCGTATGGGCCAATAGCAGCTGTCCCATATGGGCCAATAGCAGCTGCCCCGTATGGGCCAATAGCAGCTGCCTCATATGGGCCAATAGCAGCATTTGGCCATGAACACATTCAGAACACCTCGAGTGAGAGCAGCCACACCCAGCCAGTCTCCCTCACTCCAACATCTTACTCGCCAACATTGCTCCTCCCACCATATTGTTATAGCTCTTATTACACATGTTCTATATACCTATCTACATGTTTTATTTACCAGAACTATGCAAGTAAGCCGGTATTGTGTCCAAACAGTACAGTGGCCACCATACACTGCATGAAAAATCACACAGCAGACGACGCTACGATTACGTCACCTCCCTCACCAAAATAGCTCCTCTCAACATTCTCCGGTTGCTGTTCTTACTCTATATACACACACTATATATACCCATGTACATATGTGTTGCCCATAGCGAACCACTAAGCTAGTATGGTGAGCAAAACAAGAGTGGCAGCCACACACACGATGAGGCTACCTCAATTCTCGCCCTCCCTCCCTCATCAAAATTCCTCCTTCCACAATACTACGCACAACGCTAATTATAGCCACAATCCTGCTATTATCACAATCCTGGTCACTAATTCCTGTAAATGAATAATTGACCACACGTTTATTTTGAAAAGGAACCTAAGAAATCATTTGAAGATTCCTAGATGAACGAAATAATGCTGTGGCTAGAGCTGTGAACATCGTGAACAGCATTGAATCACTGATATTTGAACATTGTACCCAGTCATTATCACACTCGGGCTCTAATATAACACTATCATAGCTAAATAATACAAGTTATATATATATTTTGACATTATTTGGCGATGCTGTGGTCACATGCTGAACAGCAGTGCTGTGCGCTCATGCTGCGAGCGCCAGCCTTGGTTGCTCACACACTACTGAGGCTCCCACACCCGGGAATGTGGACCACGATTTTTTTTAAAGATGGCGTCTGTTTACAAGAGCCCTGAGGAAGCTGATGTGAACCCCATGTAGCCGCGGGAGTTTTGAATGGAACGTGAAAAATACAAATACCCGGAGGCGCGTTGCGCAAACCAGACGTGAGCCTGCAGGCGCGTTGCGCAGTTTAAGGGTTAAAGAAGCCATAGACAGTATGCCTATACACTCTGCACTAGGCCCTGAATCTTGGAACTCTATCTTCATCAAGAACTGTAAAAAAATTACTATTGCAGGTCCTGCATCATACCTGCTTGATGGGTGTTTCTGGGGATTCTTCTATTCCCCAAGCCCGGCCCGAGGCCAGGCTTGACTTTTGAGAGAGTGGTCCACCAGGCTGTTGCTTGGAGTGGCCCGCAGGCCCACATATCCACCACAGCCCGGTTGGTTCAGCACTCCTTGAAGAAAACTATCTAGTTTTCTCTTGAAGATGTCAACGGTTGTTCCCGCAATATTTTTATGCTTGCTGGAAGGATGTTGAACAACCACGGACCTCTGATATTTATACAGTGTTCTCTGATTGTGCCTATGGCACCCCTGCTCTTCACTGGTTCTATTCTGCATTTTCCTTCACATTCTTTGGAGACAGAGCCTAGATACTGGTGTTATCCCTGACATACTAAAAACAGCAGAGATAGCACCACTCCATAAAGGAGGAAATAAGGCAGTGGCAAAAAATTACAGACTGGTAGCACTAACCTCACACATCATAAAACAATCTTTGAAATAGTGCTAAGAAGTAGGATCACAAAACACATGGAATCACAGCCTCTCCATAACCCTGGACAACATGGTTTCAGAACAGGGTGTTCTTGCTATCACAGTTGCTGGACCACTATGGCATGGCCTTAGATGCCATGGAAGACAAGCAAAACACTCATGTAATTAACATAGATTTTGCAAAAGCCTTCGATAAATGTGACCATGATGTTATTGCACACAAAATGCTTTCTAAAGTAATTACCAGAAAAATAAGCAGATGGATCTACAATTTCCTGACTAACAGAACCCAATGTGAAATAATCAACAAAATAAAATCCGGTCCATCAACCGTGAAGCGCTCAGTCCCTCAGAGTACTGTGCTGACCAGTATGGTCAGTGCTGTTGGCAAATAAATTCAGCAACAGAGGAAAGGGCACCATAAAATTGAACCTTGAAGGGCTAGAAGAGGAAAGCGGAGATACAAGGAGTTGAGAAGCCACTCAAACTCTCGGAGAAAAACATGAGACCTCTCCAACACCAGACTAAGACGGTCATACAGAAAAGAACATGAGCATAAAGGAAACTGTAGAAGGCCAATAGCTCAGACGCAATAAGGCTGACTTTGGAAAGAGGGGGAAATTGTCCTGGTATCCCAGACTATCCCTAACAAACTTAACAAAGATGAAAGAAAGTTTCAGCTGCAGCCAGAGCTTGGTTCTCTTCCCCTTCCAGAAAAAAGAAGGGAGGAGAATGGAGACGTAAACAGAGAAGCGATGCAAACTACTTGGCCAAAGCAGAGTTGCCTATGAGGTTCACAACTATTCTTGCATTCCACTATTGGTATACTGTTCCAGTGGATTACCATGACCTGTGGTTCCAGCTTCCTCCTAGTTAGTGTGTTGTTATGGCTGCTGATTATTCACATTTGTTTCCTAGGTTCTCTCTATATTCCATTTTTAGCCCCTCACTGTGGTAATTTTTGCTTGCATAATAATTTTACACAACACACTGTTTTGTGATTACCTTCTCTTTGTCTCCTCACCCAATCACATGAGCTGGACAGTAGAGCAACGGTCTCGCTTCGTGCAGTTCAGCATTCAGTTCCTGACCATCAAAGTGGTTAGCACTATTCCTTTCCCCCCTCCCCCATCTCATCCCAACTCCTTATCCTGATCCCTTCCAACTGCTATATGGTCTTAAAGGCTAGGCACTTTCTCCTGATAGTTCCCTTCTTTGTCTTCTCTGGGCTTTTCCTCTAGACTCCTTTTCCAGCTGTCTACTGTCTGCCTAGACATTACAGGTTATATTTTCACAAACTCTGGTCATACATTATATTCAGAACTATTAATATCCTCTGGTTGCTGGCTAGTATGGTAGTGTTTACTCATAACTTTTCATGCACTTGCAAGTTGATGGGTTTTGACACTTGCATGCCCTGGCACTGGCAATTTTTTATGCTATAAACAATTAACAAAAGCATTTTTTAACATGCTCACCTGAGAAACACTAAACATTACAGAGATATTAATGTCCAAGGTTAACAAACACAAACGGCAAAACCATATCAAAATTATTCTTTTCAACTAAGTCATATTTTACTTACTTTCATCATGTCTTGCTCATCATATGACACATCTAAAGACACATCTCGGTTGAGCGTAGTATCCCGTGAAGGACCAAGCTCCTCTTTGAAGGTTTCAAATCCAGACTGATCCAGATGAGCTTTAGCCATTGCTCTTTCAATGTCATCTGTGACCAACTCTACATTGAATATGCACTGATTCACAATATCATCACGTCGGATCTTTCGCAGGCCCTTCTCAAGTGTATTTCCATTTGCCTATTTTTAGAGAGACAGAGTTATATTATTGTTCAATTATATAAACAAGAAATATGTTGCACCTACAGGTATATAGTGCACAAATTTTGCGTCATAATGGCTCATCACTATTTGCGTAATTTCTGACATTCCACATTCCTCAATTGTCAGCGACATCTGACCTTTCATGCTCATCAATTATCAGTGGCACCTGACCTTTCATTTTCATCAATCATCCATGACACCTGACCTTTCATGCCCATCAATTGTCAGTGACTTTTCATGTTCATAAATCAATGCCACATGACCCTTCCTGCTCATCTGTGACACTTGACCTTTCATGCTGATCATTGACACCTGATCTATCCATGCTCATCTGTGACACCTGACCTTTCATGTTCACCAGTCATCAGTGACACCTAACAACTTATAACCATCAATATTCAGTTACTGCTGACCATCTTTACTCATCAATCATTAGTGACACCTTATATTTTATATTCATCAGTGACACCTGAACTTTTATAAGCAATACTCCGCTACACCTGACCTTTAATCATCAGTGACACCTGATGTTTTATGCTTATAAAGCATCAAAATTATACATGACTTTTCACACTTCATTCAGTGCGAATGAAGTGTGACTAAATCCGATCTTGTCTTGGAGTTTCATAACTCTTCTTCAATACCCCCTTTTTATCCCTTGTAATGACAAGGGCTGCTCTCGTCTCCCCTCTTATTTTCTGATTAGGCATTCTAGTTGCTGATCTGAAGTAAAAGCTCCTGGTGCTTCTAGAACCCATGGCCCCCTCCATTTTAGTATTCTAATCACGCATTGCAATCACGCCGTCTTTGATATCACACCACTCATGACCATCAAGTCATTCCAGAAAATATCCTTTTTCATATTCCCTATCACATGGTGTTCATGTAACTAGTTACACAGGAAAAATATGAAATTTATATAAATTGACTGAAAATTAGGGAAACATCAATAGCTTAAAAAATATTAATATTATAACTTCATAGCTTGGATAATTAAGACAATATATTGCTCCAAATGAAATAAGTGATGTGCAAAATATATTGATATCTGAGCCATGAACAACAATGGGAAGTTTAATGACTGCACTGATTGAATGCAAAGCTCATCCAAACAACAACAAAAATATTCTTCTCTTTAATATAGCAAAAACTGTAAATGTTTAACCAAAGTTAGAAGTGATTTCTATTCTTCATTGTCTCAATATAGTTTATTTCCTACCTTATTCCCAGATGTTTGCATCCAAAGTCTGAGCATAACAATGGCTTGCTGAGGAGCATTATCTGGATACTGTGACTTGATAATGTTGATGTCTGAATCACTGATTTCAAGTTCATGAGCAAGAGCAACCCAGTCAGTGCCCAACATGTTTGAGATATCAGTGAGACGAAGATCTGCTTTGTGGATGGTGTCAGCTTTACCTTATGGAAGTACAGATACACAATATTAAGACAATAAGATTCACCGTTTATATCCTCAGTTTAGTAAATAGTTAAAAAAACTAAAAAAAAACAGCATTGAATGTACAGTAATGAAATGCCATTTTCTGGGTGAGTCCCAGAGGCTACCCGGGCTAATATGTATGTATTAGACCGTGTCATCAGTTAATTCAATGGAGTTCTGGCCTACCGGGGACCACGAGCCAGAATCTGGCCCCACTCAGAGAGGTATGAGAAGCAATGACCTATAGAAACCCCCATGTGGTTGGAAGCATTCTATGTCTGCCATCTACCGGGTTAGGCACCCAGAAAGGTAGGCATCCCAAAACAAACTACAGCTGGTTAAAAATTGCGACCGCAAGCCGAACTAGCAAGCAGAACTCCCCAAACCAAAAACAAGCATGACGTCACCATTGCCGTTGCACCACTTTCAGCACAGCTTTCCCCTCCCTAGGAGGGGGGAATAGGGGAAGCCCCAGACCCCCTCCAGCTGACTAACCCCAGTTCAGAAGCTGAATATCAAAAACGTGAAAAACGTTGACTGGAGGGAGGAAGGGAGGGTTACCGGGGAGCCTACGGGGCTCGCCCAGAAAAAGGCGTTTCATAACATTGAACGCTGGTTTTCTGTGGAGAGCCCCTTCAGCTCCGAGGAGCTACCTAACTTAAGATAAGAAAAAGAGGGATTTACCCGGGTTGCCACTTTCACCTCAACTCGAAGTCGAGACAATTGGTGGCAACCTGAGACTCAAGACTACATACACCCGAGAGGGACCAGGAACATTAACAAGGTACTATGTGGCGAGGACCCTGTTTGACCACCAAAAACCTCGTGCTCGAATGTCAGCCCAAGACATGTTACCAAAAACAGCAGCCAAAGCCGCGAATTTATGAACACCGTGGCCATGGGGATAGACTGCAGGCTGGCTGGACTGAATAACACTGTGGATGATCTGGGAGACCCGCGCCCTGGAACAGGGAAGAAAGGAGACTTTCCATCCAAATCTCGTCCCCAGCCACCGAAACTGAAGTAAAAGTAACACGCAAGTAACTAAGCCACCGAAGATGAAGCAAGTAACACGCAATTAATGCCGAAGAGCTGCAACTGGAACACAACACATGATGCACCCCCTGACCAAACCAACCAAGCATCAACAATCCCAAAGACCTCTCTGGAAAGCAGCAGACTCATTCTTTGCCAGAAAAGCAGGAGACAGCTGCAAACGAACAGACCTTCCACCAGGACCAAAAGAGCAGAAATCCCTGCACCAGAGGAGAGCATGAAGCTTCCCGACCTGACCCCAAGAGGCCAATGCTAACAAATGAAAAAAAAGAGCCTTAGAAAAACAATCCTGAACTGAAAGGGCTTCCACAAACTGAGATGAAGAGAGAAAAGAGAGCACCCGGTCCAACGACCAGGACGGCTCAGGTGGCGTAAGAGCAAGCTTGATGTGAAACAATGGGTGAGAAAGCTTGCGATACGAAGCAGAAGTGACATCCACCCCGAACGCAAGCTGAAGCGGCTCCGCCAGCACTGCACGATACGAGTTGACAGTCTTCGGCATAAAATGACGGTCTTGAAACAGCCATGAGAGAAAGGACAAAACAACACGATCAGAAATCGAGACAACCTATGAAGAGACAAAAAGTGACGAAAGGATTGCCAAGAAACTTCATGCTGTCACCAAGACAAAACATTCAGTGGGATACCATCAATGAAGCCACCTGATCACCACACGAGTGGTGATAACCACATCAGAAAGACCAAACGCGAAGATCGGAGATGATGATCAAACCAGCCACGTACCGGACCGGACCAATCTGCTGAAAGAGACATAGCCGCGAAAAGATCCCTGGGTTTGGACACCAATCAAGCAGCACTTGATACCAAAGCTGGACTGGCCACCAAGGGGACAAAAGGACTACTCTCCACTAGTAGTCTCCAACCGAGCAGAACCCAAAGCAACAGCTGGATTGGGAAGAGGAGGTACAAGACACCCATCTCTACCAGTCCTGCCGAAAGGCATTGACCCCTACGGCCTCACCGTCGGGAAAGGGCACCAATGTTTGGGCGATGCCTCGACGTGCCAATAAGTGTCCCAGAGATCAAGAGACACCATCCAAGCACCCGGCTCCAAAAGAAGCCGGACTTGGGACAGAGGTGTCATCTGAAAGGAGTGGCAAAAGACCCAGGGGTTCAGACAGGACAAGTCTAGAATGAACATCAGATCCGCACAGTCCTGTTTCGGCACTGGAAACAGGCGAGAAACCCACCTGAGGGACATCGACTTTTCGGCCATGCCCAAGCGTACCCACTCCAGGATGACTTGACAGAGCACAGAAGAGGCCTGCCCCAAACCCCCTGAAGGAGGAGGAGCTACCCAACACCACCGGAGGCCAGAAGAAATGACCCGAAATGCCCACGAATTGTGGGACCAGGCATGGGCAAACAGGACGAGCCTTCCCTCCCCCCCCTCATCGCCTTGTCAATGCGGAGAACTGCAAAAGGGCCGACGACCCTTACGAGAAGCAGAACAACATACAGAGCGAGCACTGCATCGATCAGATGCTGTTGGCTCAACGGAGAATCAACAAGTCTGACATGGGACGACAACTGGATGAAGCCGCCTGCAGATACTGAACAACCGCAGACTCTGCAAACAGCAATGGACAAAAAGGGGATGAAAATCTAAGCCAGGACCAAAGCAGATTCCGAAGAGTTAGTGAGCAATTACTATCAGTCAGCACGCGAGGTGAAAAGCAAAGAATAGACACACCACTTCCTTTAAAATCGGCGCAAACAACTTCAACTTGGCAGCCGATGCCCGAAATGCTGAGGCAAGCACAACGGAAGTAGGTCCGGAACTCAGCGCCTCCACATCCTCCTCGAGCCAATCTGAAGACAGCTCAAGCAGGGAAAATTAGCGCAAGACCGAAGCCAAATGCCCACAGGTGCGTAACTTCTCAGCCACCAAAGACATCGAAAGGGAGGAAAGCTGTACCTGGCCGACGTCTCGAGGAAGAACAGGGGGGGCAAACAAGCACGTATTGAGGTGCTCAAACTCACCCCCAGCTAAACCTGAACCACCATAGTAGTTTCCCATCATTCAAGCGTGTGGGTCCAACAGAATGCATGCCACACCCCCAACGAAAAGAAAAGGCAGTCTGCCAACCAGGAAGACTCCGGCACCCAGTAAGGAAAAGTGGAATCAAACTCAAATGAAGAAGGCTCCATTATCGATGTGAAATCCGGGTCTCGCAGGAGGTACAACGCAATAGCCTCCCAAACCTCCTTAGGCGGCATGCAGGAAGCCTTAAACTTCTGGAAAGAGGGAACCGAAGGACTCAAGGGAACCCGCAACCTAACCAGGGGAGTAGTCGAACCCATATAAAATTCATACAGGGAAAGGGGGGGTGAAAAAAAAAACTTTCCCTGCAACAACAAGCCCCGTGTTGAGGGATCCAACACCCAAGTGGGGTCAAATGAGGCACAAGTCCCCCAAATCAATTCCACCCCAGCCTCAGGATCCTCCATGGCAGGACCCCAGGCAGAGCCGTCCTCCAAACCCTCTGCCTCTGGAGAAAAGGCAGAATCCACCAGAGAAGCAGGGAAGAAGGGGATCCGTTGGTCCGACCGAAAAACCCCAGCAGGAGGAACAGGCTCGAATGCCTCCGCCGCCAAACCGGAAACCGCCTGAGTCTCACCACCATCTAAACCATCACCGTCTCACTACCTGCCCTGACTCCAAAACCCTCAGACGTTTGGGAGCCGGCAAAAGGGAAAGATGGGGGGCGCGCGGGGGAGCAGGACGAACAAAAGAAGGGGCTAGGACAAGGGGGCATGGACATAACCAAAGTCAAGGCGACTAACGCCCCCTAGTCCGGGACCCAATAACCAAAGCGGGGCAGCCTCAGGGCATCCGGAAAGGCAACCAACCTAGCACGTTGCAGCAACCTAAACCTTGCATGCAATGCTGAAGCTGCCTTCACCTGTAGGGGGCCTGACAGCTGAGTGGACAGTGCTCGGGATTCGTAGTCCTGAGGTTCCGGGTTCAATCCCCTGTGAAGGTAGAAACAAATGGGCAGTCTCTCTTTCACCCTGATGCACCTGTTCACCTAGTAGTAAATAGGTACCTGTGAGTTAGACAGCTGCTACAGGCTGCTTCCTGGGGGTGTCATAAAAAGAAAGCCTGGTCGAGGAAAAGGTTGCAGGGATGCTAAGCCCAGAAATCATCTCAAGATAACCTCAAGATAACCCGAATATCAATATCAGTGGACTGGGTGAATTGGAGTACAAACAAGGAACACCACTCATAGGACCCTGGGTCAAAGGTACCATTGACCCAACAGGCAACATGGCAGAGGCAAAGACAGTGAGTGTCACCCTGAGACAAGGGGACAGGGCAACCTTTAAACTCGCACAATGCGAGATGGGACTCAGAGGATGCATCCATCGGACCAATGAGCCTTAATGGGGTTTTCATTATCGCAGGAAAAGGGGTTTTCCCTTAGCACAGCCCTTAGGCTGACTGTTAAGGTACGCAGTCAAGGTACTGCATGCTAACCGGTTATCCCAGAACTACCAAACAAACAAAAGCTGAACCCCTGAGATATGTACAATCATGGGGGGCCTAGTGGAGAGCCATCAAAACAACACAAGTGGTCATGTAGCTACACCAGGCAAACAAAAGAAAGGAAAAATAAAACCCCCGCATAGCACAACGTTAGCAGGAGGAACAGAACCGGCCACTATGCGTATTCTAAGACAGCTGCACAGTACCATGTGCCCCTGCCAGCAACAATAGTACCTCCTACCCAAGGTCAAACAGTGGCAAGAAAAACCCCAGCTGACCCCAAGGGCTGGCAATCACTGAAAAACAAAATAACCCTACAAAGGTAGTTCCCGAACAGTTTGTGGTAGGTAACCCCAAACCGTAAGGGCAGTACTTAAAGGGCTAGGGAAGGTACAGGGCCTGCACCTAGGG